GTTTTTATTATTGTATTTCTTGCATTTTCATTTATTAGTCAAAGTTAAACGTGCATTGTACGTTATTCTAAAATATTTTATAGGTAATGTAAATGTAATATTTGATACCAATTTGTTGGAGGATTTGATGAGTTTCGGACGAATTAAAGAAAATAAAATTTAGCATGGAGATTTAAGAGAATAAGATTGTGCCCTCACAACTCAATTTCTATGATTCAAATTTTGTAATTATGAAATACTATTTATGAGTAATTTTTTATATTACACTTGATACATAAAAATTAATTGTTAATACATAAATTTAAATACCCATTAAAATTTTCAGACATATGAATATGAATAAATTCATCTATAATAACTCTAAATTCATGTAACTCAAGATTTATCATCAAATGAAAATTCATTGAATCTAGATTAATGGTAATATCAATTAATTGAGAAATAATAACACAAATTTCATAAATGAAAATAATTTTGTAATATTTATTATATATTGAAAAACGAAAGTAAAGTATTAAATAATTATGAAATTGTAGGAGGTTAAATTCGTCCAAAAAAAATATTTTTCCCTTCATATGATATTTAATATATTAAAGATGTAGCCAATGAATGATTATGTTTAGTGATTTGTATATCGTTTGAGAGAAGGTTGTACATTTTAGACAAAATAGTAAAAATTCTAGGTTTTTGTAGGGAATAGGAATATACTCCTAACCTTAGGTAACCCAATGGGTTATTTTCATAAATATTTAATGCGATTGTTTGGTTTGAATCTACATAGAGATATAGTAGATTAAACCAATCAATTATGGTAAATTTCACTTGAAAGAGGTAATTAAGTAAATTTGAAAAATTGGGTCTAATATTGTAAATGAGTAATTTGTTAATTGACTTTTAGAGAAATTAATTAGGCGACGGCTAAGCGAAATCATGAATCCCAACCACGTTTGTTTCCGAAATTTCCAAGATTTTTATATTTTCTAGATTTTTAGTTATTTTTCAAGACAAAATCTAATTCTATTTTGCGTTTATTTTTATTGTTAAAATTAAATTAATTAAAGTGTGTAATTGAAAATATATATTACTCGAGGGATCGACAATTCGAACTCAAATGTCCATTTTATTATTTGAACGTGACCAGTGCACTTGCGGTATGCACTTTTAGCAAACAGTATTAGTTTAACTTAACCTTAATTAATTTTAATATTTGCTATTTAATGTTAAGTTATGCCCCCATTTGGGCTCCATTCTCCTTCATTTTTTTCCTTCTCTTATTTTCAACTTCACGATCTTTCATAAAATAATATTATACGCAAATCGAAAATTTTTTATTCTATTTCAACTACACATTTTTCAAAAAAATACTATTCTAAACATTAAAATTTGAAAAAAAAATGGGGCCAAACGGGGGCTATATATTTTCACATGTTTTTATTATTGTTATTATTACATTTTCATTTATGTGGTTAATGAATGATTGTGTTTAGCGATTTGTATATCGTTCGAGAAAAGATTGTGTATTTTAGACCATATTGTAGAAACTCTATGCTTGTGTATGGGATAGATATATACTTCTAACTTTAGGTAACCCAAATGAATTGTTTTTTACAAAAATTTAATGCGGTTATTTGGTTTTAATCGATATAGAGATATCGTAAGTTAAATTAATCAGTTAGAGTTAATTTCACTTAAAAGAGGTAATTAACTAAAATTGAAAAATCAAGTTTAACATCGTAAATGATTAATTTTTTAAATGGTTCGTGGAGAAATTAATTAGACGATGGTTAAGCGAAACCATGAATCTCAACCACATTTTCTTTCAAAAATTCCAAAAAATTTATATTTTCTTATTTTGTAAATTTTTAATTATTTTCCTTATTTTTCAAAATCATAGTCTTTATTGTATGTTTCTTTTTATTGTTAGAATTAAATTAATTAAAATTATGTAATCTAAAGTAAACATTCCTCGAGCGATCGGCAATCAACACTTAAAGAGTTCACTTTATTACTTGAGCGCGATCCATGCACTTGCGATCAGCATTTTTAACGAAAAACGTCCTCATCTTTGTCATTTGCACATTTCATTTTAATGATAAATTTAGTGATACTTGTTTAAAAATTTACCAATAGAGCTCCAATTCTCTCTCTCTCTCTCTCTCTCTCTCTCTATATATATATATATA